ATCCTTTCTTTTTTCTTCACTATGCAAGTGTAAGTTCCTTCATTGATTGCATTGGCAATGATGCTCATGTGATCTTCATTTAAGGATAAATAACCTGGATAGGAGTATTCCAGAAGCTCCTTATCTTTATACCAGCTGTCAGAAGAAGAAAAAAACAACAGAAATAATTAAACTACAGATGTCTAGCACAGCTCAGTGTCTGTGTTAGTGGTTCTTTCTTGTGATAGGTTTTTAAGGGTAGGGCGGAAATGGGGCTTTAAGAAAACCCAGTCGAGTTTTCCTCTGTGTTTCAGGTGTAACTGGGCACAATCCTGAGCAGTTCTGGAGCTTGAATCTCACTGGAAGTTAATGGGAATTTGGGTCCTCGATCTAAACTTAACTCATAGGCCAATCTCTCAACTTTCAGTAACATGCTTATATTTTAGTAACAGCTTAAATAACTGTGAACTAAAAGGGTAAATTTAAGACTTTTTTTTTTTTTTTTTTCCTGGTCAGAATATGGGTCAGGAATTTGGCTTGATGGTAGGAATTAGCGTTGTGCTCCGAGTGAGCGTTGGATTTTACCCTCTTTCTGAACTGCTGCTGGTTTCTGAGAGCTCTGCTTTCAGGCTCAGTGAAAGCTCTGCCATTCCATGATCAACCCCTCTCCCTTCCCGCCACCCCTCTCCCTCCTCTGGAAGGAGTCAGTGCCACCCTCCAGCTGGCAAACTCCGCTCCCAGCCCCCCCGTTGTGCCACCCTCCCTCCTCCTGTCAGCTGTGCGAGCTGCAGAGGCTCCCCAGGGCTGGAAGGAGGGCTGAGCACTCACTGAACTTTGCCTTTTTTGTGGATGATCTTCTGCCCACAGCGGAAGGTGACGTTCCTGCCCTCAGACACCGTCTTGGTCTTGGTCCTTGGCGGGGGCAGAGTGGGGGGCACCGTTGGAAATGGGAATTCTGTTCCCCCCCCAAAGAGAGGAGGAGAGAGGGAAGTGGCAGGCAGTTAGTGAGCAGCTCCCAGCAGCAAGTTCAGGTGCACAGAGTTGGGTTGGCATTTAAGGAGCCTTGAAAGTGTCGATTTAAAAATGAGCAGTTCTTGGAGGGGCACGTGACGTGAGAAAAAACTTCGGGGTGTGTAAACTGAGATGGATAAAAATCAACTAGTCCACAGCTAGGGGAGAGGATGTGAACAGTCCCCCAAAAAACTGCCCCCTAATTTCAGCCCTTCCTTCCCCTTAAACACCCGAGCCCCCACCTCTGCTGTGCTGCTTGGAGCTGCATCACTTGCACCCCCTGATCTCCAGCCTGAAATTAAAATCCTGCCTATCCCTGAATAACTTTTACCTCCTCCCTGTGTGCCAAACCCCTCCCCAAAGCCCAGAAGAAATTGGGATACCGTAGCAGAAGTCACAGGTGGATGGGCAGTGCTTCTTCATCAGCTTCCTGCGCTTCTCACAGAAGCCTTTTTTTGCCCATGCCTGGCACATAAATAATCTGTCTTTACAGCCTGAAACAGGAGGAGAAATGGGCATTAGAGGGGCTGGGGGAGAGAGTTCCTTCTGAGAAACAAATCCACATTCCACTTAACCAGATCCCCCAGTGTAAATGGGGGAGCTAGGATGGGGAAGAATCTGAAGAAGGAGCACAAACAGAGCTGGGCTCTGACACCACAACAGCTGTGCAGGATGGTTCCTCACCATAAAGCCTGTGGATCCCCCACACCTCATCCTGGGAGATGGTCTTTTTCCCGGTCAGGGTGGCGTTGATGTGCATGAGGGCGTTGGGGTTCAGGGAGTGCATCAGGCCCAAGGCGTGGCCTATTTCGTGAGCTGCCACGTGCACCAGGTCTGTCAGCCAAACACCTGGAAGGGAGGGAAAACCAGCTGGAATCGTGTGGTAAAAAAGGGGATTTGCTAATCCCAAACCCAGAGGAAACAGTTCAGCACCAGAAAGGTCTTGTCGAAGGTTGCCTCCGTTTCATCTCCTTTAATGGATTTCAGCTGAAGATGTGACTGAGCTGCTGGATAATCCCACTGAATTACTGAGCCAGAAATGGCTCTGCCACCACCCAGGATCCCCCTGGCCCAGCTGATCACGGAGCAGAAGAGCAGCTCCCAAACTCCCCCGCAAAACCACAACCAGCTCTGCTGGCTCCTCCAAAACCAGGTAAATCCCAGGCACTCCCTGCTAACCTTTCTTCCAGCTGAACCTGGTGTTCCCCAGGATCCAGTACTCGTGGTCATCGAAGTGGATCTCCCCGTGGGGGGGGAAGAAGGCGTGGGCCAATTCCCCCGTGGTGCCATCGAAGCAGTGGTGGGTGAGGGACTCCAGACAGTCCGTGTGGTTGATGGAGTAGAAGCCTGTGGGGAAAACAAAACAAAACAAAAAAAAACCAACACAAAAAGCAGCAGATTGAGCGGATCTGGCAGGGTCAGTGAACTCCTGAGTCAATACACAGGTCTCGAGTGGGATCCCACGTGTTTCCCGACCCCCAGAGCCACAGGAGCGAAGATAAATGCAAAGTGATTGATGGCCACGTGCTGCCCCTGGATTTAGAGCTGCTCCCAGGGGACACAAATAAGTTCACTTCCCAGCAGGGAACACTGAGCTCGTCTTGCAACATCACATGGAAATCATTTTTTTTTTTTTTTAAAGGGGAGAAGCTGAACTGATAACCCTGGGACGGAATTGTTGTGTTTCAAATGTCAATAAGCAGGGGCAGAGTTACAGGGAGAGCTGCTCCCCGTCAGTTTGTCAGCACCACAGCGGGACCACGGTGCATCCTGCAGCCCCTGGAAGTGGGGAGCAGGACAGACCCCTGGAAGCACATCATGTGCTCTGAGCAGGGTCCTGCAACACCAGAGCCAGTTGCGAAATGAGGGGTAATCTGCTGGTTGTCTCTGTCCTGCTGCCACACGCTCAGGAAATCAGGATTTCACGCAGACCGTAAATCCCAGGAAGGATTTACATCTGGGGTTGAGGCTGAGCAGGAAAAGCCTCAGCACTGACGTCCTTCCAGGCCCCAGGAACTCCAGAGCAACTGCAGAGCAAGGGAGGGGCAGGAGGGAGGGGAGGGAGCAAGGACAGTGGGATCAGCAAAAGGGAGACCAAACCCGGGAACAACTGGAATCCAACTCCTGCCCTGGCTCTGTGTGACCCTGGGCATGGCTCCTCACCTTCCAACATTCAGATTCCCAATCTGCAGGATAAGAATCTACAGATTCTTATTCTTCTGCCAAATTCCCCATTTGTGGAATATGAATCTGGGGGTTTTCCTGTTCGTGGAATACAAATCTGGGGATTTCTGCATTCCTGGAACAGGAATCTGTGGATTTCCCCATCTGGGGAACACAAATCTGGGGATTTCTGCATTCCTAGAACAGGAATCTGTGGATTTCCCCATCCCAGTGGCAGAACCTGAGTGTTAATTCTTGGCAAATCCCTAAAGCTTCCTGACTGCTGGGAAGAGTTAATCGTGAGATTAGCACTTCCTAAATATTAACAAGGAATGTTACCAAAATCAATAAAAATCAGCAATAAAATAAGTAATAAGCAATAAAATAATAAGCAAACTAATAAGTAATAAAAGCTAAAGTAGTTTCTCGACCTGACTAAAGGCAAAGGACGCCCCAACCCTCACCCAAGAGAGGCCGAGGAGGAGCATCTGCTGCCTCCCACCTCGTGGTTTCACGCTGGAAATGGTGGAGTTAACCCCCCCCCGGATCCTCCCGGGACCCCTGAGGGTCTCACCGATTTTGAGGTCGCTGGGGACGTGCCGGGGCACCTCCCTGAAGCTGAAGGGGGACACGTCGCTCCACATGCGGAACGCGGCCGCCAGCCCCCGCCGCGTGTCCCGGGCGCTCAGCAGGTTCCTCGGGAAGGACAGGATTCTGCAGGGGGAACACACACACACACACACACACACAGCAGTGTCAGGAAAACACCCTTTCCCTCCTCAAACACCAGCTGGGCCCGCCAGGGCTGCCTCAGTGTCTCATTCACGGCCGGCGGGTTCAGAGCAGGAGGCTCGAGCTGAAGTCACCGGTGTTTGCTGAACCCCCACGGGGATGGGTAAAGAGCTGATGTTCTTTACAACCAGGTGCTCTGTCCTACAGCTTTGGCTCCTCCCCTCAAGCACAGCACTTCAGGTGAGGTTCTCTGGGATAGGTGTTTTCATCCTGGGGTCTCCCAGTCTGCTGCTGGAAGAGGAAGCAACTCTGTCCCAGCAGCAGGGAACTCCTGCTCCCGACACTTGGGCTACAGTGGATGAGCACAGTGGTGAAAAACACTCTCAGGCAGAACTTCTGCAAGGGTACCAAAGATCTGACAGGGAAACAAGTTATTTCCTTTGGGAAAAAAAGCTCTAAATCACCCAGGAGAGAGACTCGAGGGAGGTTTTCGCTCAGGCCACGGGTGAGCTGGGGGTGAACTCCTGGTGCAGGTGCCATGGGAATGCACAGATGGCTGCTGGCAACTTACCTTGGCCCACAGGAAGATCTGCACGCAGGGAACTGCCTCAAGTGCAGCAATGGGGAAAAGCTGGGCATATTTTCTATCCCCTCTGGTTGTTTTTTAGCTATGCTAATTATGTTCTCCCTTCGTCCCAGCACATCCTAAAGGGAGCAGAAGGTTTGGTATCAAGCCAGGCTGCTAACGAGGGGAAACCTGGATAATTAAGACTCTGATGGGGCTGAACCTGTTTGGGATGCTCCTATGAAGGAGCAGAGTGTTCCCTCACATCAGAACTGCAAGGGCTTTTTACTGATTATTAATAATCCAAGGGCTGGACATCCTTTCCAAAGGCAACAGGGAGAGAGATTCCTGAAAGCACTGAGAGCTGTGTCCTCCTGAAATCACAGAACCTTCCAACAGGGAGGTTTAGGTTCAAACAGAACTGTTAAAAACATCAGCATGATGACAGAGTTAGTCCTCCAGTCACGACCTTCTGAGGGAGGTCCCTGCTAAGGAATCTGTCCTGAACAGCTACAGCTCCACCGAAGTGAGGAATGTTCCTGTTTCAGAGTGGCTTTAGCAGCTGTCCCTGCACAGGGCTGAGCAATTACCACGTGGGCAATCCCCAAACCCGTGGCAGGAGGAACTCAGGCCCCAGGACCCCTCCTGGGGCCAAAGCCAGACCTTACTTGTAGGTCAGGTTGAAGTGGTCCCATCTCAGGTGGCCTGGGGTGATGGTGTAGCGTTTCCTCCGCGCTGGGGGCCGGGGAAGGGTCGGGCTTGGCCAAGCTGGGGAACCCTCTCCATGCAGGCCAGGGGATGTGGCATCTTCCTTAAAGACAAAGCAGCAGGTTGGAAGGGACGGGAGACACCCCAGGACTGATCAACGTGCAATAAAAACCATCTGCAGGCTGGGAGCACAACTGGAGCTCCTTAGGGGAGTCCAGGGGGACAAGATGGTCCCGTCTGGCTGCACCATCCCACCCTCCTCTTGGAGTGTGGCACAGATGGAACAGAAATGAAGCTTCAGGAGGCTTTTCTGGCCACGGCCAGGGCTGCAGCTCTGCCTGGAAAGTTTTCATTTCCTTTTCGCTCTCCTGTTGCTCTCCAGCCTCGCCACAGAAGAAAATGTAAAGCTGGAAAAATGACTAAAACAGGCAGCTCTTTGTGCAGGGAGCTCTTTACAGAGTTGTGCTGTGGATCTGAAATGCCTTCCAAGTAAACAGCAGCCCTGGAAACCCTGGAGAGGATTGAAACCACCCAACAGTAAAAGACATCAAATTAAGTGACACGTCTGACTCCAATTAGAAAAGCCTTTTCATCCTGAGCAGTGGAGGTAAAAGAATGGCACCCAACCCTGTTTTCTGGATGGTTTCCTGCTCTGTCTCCCGTTTCAGGCCCAGGACAGTGAATGTCTGTGAACCATCCTCGCTCCAGAGGCACCAGGACCTTCCCAGGTGACAAGCACGGTGGCAACGGCACAAGAGCTGCACCAGCTCGAGTCTGTTCAGCCTCACAGCACATTCCACAGGCAACAAGAGCCCTCTTCATTTCCCTCCTGGAAGGACTGAGGCTCTGAGAGCCAAACCAGCAAGTCCCTGGTGTCACAGCAAGACCTGAAGCGACAGATGTGCCCGGAGCAGGAGCACTCAGCAGGCACAGGGACTCCATCCCAACAGGAAACCAGGCTCTTTTCTCACATCTCACAGCCACTCCTGCCTCCACCCTGATCTAATCTCAGCCTCTTTCTTTCCTAGAAGGACAGATTTCAGCTTTTCCTGCAGCTCAGCCCTGGGGCTGACTCAGCATCCCAGCCCAGCTCGGTCTCTGCCCACCAGGAACTCGAGGGCCACGGGACACCCCTGTGGGACCAACACCTGCCCTCTGAGCTGGGAGCCTCTGCCAGGGGATTGTGCTACAGCTTTTGGGTCCCTCAGCTCAGGGCCCTGCCCCTTCCTCCCTGGGCACGTGTGGGGTGGGCACAGGGGCTGTTGCCCCTCTCCCTTCACCTCCCGTGGCTTTTCCCTCTGATTCTGCTCTGAGAATGCCACTTTCCCTCCACAGGAAAGGAGAATTTTGCATCCTTTCGAGCAGCACAGACGAGGTGGAAGATCTGTTGGAGCTGCAAGAGAAGCCTGGAGAAGATTAGCTCATAATTATGGGATAATAAGTTATCTTCCCTTTTTTATATATATATTTTTTTTTTGCAGTTCTTTCAAGCAGTGGAGAATTATGCAAATCCTTTCTGTCTTTGTTATTTTCTCTGCAATCCCGTGCCAGTGGTGGGGCTGATTACATTATTAATGTAATCTGGCATCAGTCAGGAGGAGCCCAGGATTACTGGGAGTTCTGTCATCCTCCTGACTGGCTCAGGAGATTCGTTCACTCACACTGGGGTGAGCAGCTCTCTGTCCCTGTGCTGGCTGCTCCTGAGCAAAGCCAGAGCACTGAATTTGCTTCCTCCTGCAGCCCCAAGGGAGAGAAATGATTGTCTTTTCTACAGCTTAAACCCCTCAGGCCATTCATTAGTGCTGAACAGGCAAAGGGAAACAATTAAAGTAATGCGTCATTAATGAATTTATCCTCAAAACCCAAACCAAAGGGAGGGTGACTCAGGCCCAGCATCAGCCCTCGAGATGTGAATGTGACCCCCTGGACCAAGAGAGGTGCAGAGGTCGAGTTCTCTCTCGCTCAAACCTTCTGCCCAGTCTCTGTTCTACTCTGGGCTGGGTTCTGCCCACCTCTGGTGCAACAAGATGCTTTTAATTAAGAAAAGCTTTGCAGAATGAACTGGGGAGGAAGGGTGGGGAACCACCCAAAGTGCAGCTCAGCTGGGGGGCTCTGACAGAAATGGAGTGACCCCGTGAAAAATTCACAATATAACCGGGATCAAAGGGTCTGCCCGGACACCAGAGATCCAAGACTTTGGGAATGCACAGAACTGAAGAGGCCAGACCCTCCCAGGAAGGAACTCAATCAGCTGGGGGTTAAGGGCTCAAAAACTCCAAATGCCTGGGAGGTGCGCGAAGGGCAGGTGTTCAGTTCTCCCTCTCAACAACCAACAACAGATATATATATATATATAAATATATATATATATAAATATAGAGGCAGACCCTGGCCAACACCCCTGCTCTGCATTATTCCCCCTTGCAGTCAGAGCTCCAGTAAGTTATTTCACTGAGCTGTAACAACTGTAATTAATTCCCTTCTCCCTCCTGGCCACGCAGTTCCCTTCTCAAACCCCACAGCAACATAACTCTGAACCAGGACCAATTCATAACAGCCTGAGCATGTGATGCAAACAAGGGAGCCCAGTGCCAAGAGCTTCATAAACACAAAAAAACAGGAGAAGATGCACTTAAAGATTTTTATATATGTATATATATAAACTTAAAAGCCAAATGTAAGCTGAAAGCAAAAATAAAGATCAGCTCCTGAGAGTCCCAGAGCCTTGCCAGAGTTCCCCCTGGATTCAGACTGTCCCAAAACATCTTGATAATAGATGGACCTTGAAAGAGAGCTGATATCAGTCAAGAGTTCTGCAGGACCCAGCTGAGGTCCTACACAAGCCCTGAGTTCCTAGGAAAGCTCAGCTGCTCCAGAAATCCCAGGGCATGCAATGCCACATCATCCCAGGCTGGGAGAGCAGAGTGTTCACAGGAACAGCTGAAACTCTGGGAGAAAACAACCCCAATCTGCTGTGGCTGCCCCAGACTGCACACACACCTCTGCCACCTGAGTCACTGGGATGCACCGTTCCCTTCAGGGATCCTTTGCCCAAAGGGACCCCAACAACCCTAAACTCTCCTTGTTGCCCCAAGAGGTATTTCCCTATTAAATGAGATATTCCTTTATTCAGATTTCTTCCTGAGTGCACCCACCTTCCAAACAGAATGTCCATGTATCTGACACCCCCTGCCCCTGTCAGGCATTTGAGGATCAGATCCCTTCTCCTACCTGACTTTCCTGGAGTGCAGCTCCAGCTGGATATTCCACGAGCGCCAGCAGAGCCACCACGGGGAGCAGGCACAGAAATCCCAGCACGGTCCTCCAGCCACCGCTCCTTTTCTTGTCCAGGGAGGGGAAGCCTCTCCTCCTGTCTGCAGAGAGCTCTTCTGCTGGATCCATGTCTGCCTTTAATAGTTTTTGGAGGGAGATGGGACAGGCACTAAGACATCCCCCTGCACGGAGCTCACCCCCAGTCCCCACGCTCACATTTGGAGCATCCGCGAGGAGCCCTCGCAGCTCCTGCCAAAGCTCTGCAGAACCACCAGAGCTTCAAAAAAACCTCTCAAAAAAAAAAAAAAAAAAAAAAAAAAAAAAAAAAAAAAGAAAAAAAAACTAAAAAAAAAAAAGTAGACTTTACATTAAGCCTCTTCCCAATGTGCCAGAGATTCTCTCAGGCTCTGCCAAGTGGGATCATGTTACTGCAGCTGAAAGTTGGGCTGGCCGAGGAGCAGCAGCAAAGTGAAACAAGCTGGGGTGGACATGAACTCCTTTCTTTAACTGTGTAATCAACGGGGGCCAAATCTGCAGTTGTCAGCTTTTATGTAATGAAAGAATGGGGGGGAGGGGGCAGCCCAGGGAATGCAGCAGCCAGCATCATGCCCTTGGAATGTTTCATTAGGGATGCTGAACTGCTCAAGAGCTGTCATTTGTCACGGGCTGTCTTCAGCGGGAGAAAGAAGAAGGAGATGCAGTGAGAGAGCAGGCAGGGTTTTCTGTGCTTGGGAAACTGCTCAGGGAGTTTACAAACTCACAGAAGAGTAAACACCAGCTCCCTCTCCCATCAGACTTGGCAAGGGATCTGCAAGTTTGTGCTGTACTTGGGTTATCAGGCTGAGGAACACAAGCATTCTCAGAACCACATTGATTCGGGGGTCTCACAGACTGACCTGGGGAAGCGGCCACTTCGTCCTCAGCTGGCAGGTTCTTGGAGGCATCTCCAGGCTCCAGACTTCAGTCAGTTCAGGACTTTTTAAAAAGCCTCCCCAGAAATCCTCAGCTGCACTTTCCTGCGGGGTCACCCCGTGGTCCTGAGGCGGGGGGTGACCTCAGCTCCAGTTCTGCCCAGCCAGAGGAAAAGGAACTCTGCAAGCTCCCAGTTTCACAAGCAAATGCCAGGGAGGGGTGGCTTTGTTGCCAGAGCCCTTATAAAACATTCCTTGGGGGTATCTGAGGCGTTTGAAAGGTTTCAGAAAATTCTTGTAATTGTAAAAAAGAAAAATTGTTTCATTTGCATTTTTTCCCCCCTCCTAGTTCACGAGCTTGCAACATTTCCTAGGTTTCATGTCTTTTCAGACTACAGCTGGCCTGGAGCTTTTAAACAACTCAGAATAAATAAGACCAGTGAGCCTGTTTGTACAACTGCACGAAAATTTCCCCCTTCCATTCCCACCAAGCCCTCCTCTGGAGAAAACCCGTGTTTTCTGCAGGGAGAGGACAACGAGCAGCGGTTGTTCAGACACCAGGAGGACAAAAGAAGGAGTGACAGGGCAGGAAGCTGTGGCTGGAATTACAAAGGGAAGCTGGAAGTGTGATGAAGAGCAGAAAGCCAGGGTGCAGGGCTCTACCTCCCGTGTCATTGGCTCACCTCAAAGCTTTC